TAAGTAAAATCTTATTCGGTTATGAAACGTAGAGCCTAGAATTCAGATAAACATACAAAGACTTTGACAGAGAACAGTTAACTGAAAAGAATGCCGATGCTTGATATCTGCAGCAGTGTGAATCTCACAGGCTGTGAATGCTGAATAAAAAAGAAGATGCTGATAAAAATTAAACTAGTTATTGAACTAATTCACAATACTCTCTCTCTCTCTCTCTCTCTCTCTCTCTCTCTCTCTCTCTCTCTCTCTCTCTCTCTCTCTCTCTCTCTCTCTCTCTCTCTCTGTCTATCTCTCTATCTATCTATCTATCTATCTATCTATCTATCTATCTATCTATCTATCTATCTATCTATCTATCTATCTATCTATCTATCTATCTATCTATCTATCTATCTATCTATCTATCTATCTATCTATCTATCTATCTATCTATCTATCTATCTATCTATCTATCTATCTATCTATCTATCTATCTATCTATCTATCTATCTATCTATCTATCTATCTATCTATCTATCTATCTATCTATCTATCTATCTATCTATCTATCTATCTATCTATCTATCTATCTATCTATCTATCTATCTATCTATCTATCTATCTATCTATCTATCTATCTATCTATCTATCTATCTATCTATCTATCTATCTATCTATCTATCTATCTATCTATCTATCTATCTATCTATCTCTCTCTCTCTCTTTCTCTCTTTCTTGTTGTACCCCACCAGGACATCACACAAGCGATAAACACCCGGTTACACAAGGTGCTACCATGCGTATGAGGATCACCCGTGGATAGGTCCAGGAAACCTCTATCATCCGTGACGCGAAAGCAATAGCGGTCTTCAAATAACGAAACATTGCATTCCACATGGGGACAACTACTTATTGATATTCACAATACCTTGATTGTTAGCGTTATGTCTGTTTGTAGTTGTCTTTCTTTGTTATTATATATTATTGTTACTATTCGATGCTATTACATGTTTTCGTAATTGTATTTAGCTGTTTTTTGTTGGTATTATTGGGCATTATTGTTGTGTACGGATCCAGTGAAAGGATGTAGATGTGTAAATCTTATAGAGTGGTGTTTGCGATCGACAAAGGTTGTTTTGTTTTGAGGTTGACTTGGTGTCAAGACTTTTCCTCACTCCTTTAAAGTATTTTGTCATAGATGGGATTTGTTGCCGAGACTTTTCTTTGCTCACCAATCCATGAAATCAGCACGGGGTCTCCATAGAAAGATGATGATAATAATGATAACGAAGTTATGAAACTAATCCACAATTTGTGAAGGAGAAGATTTCTGACATTGCCACCGTGCGATCCTCAGCCACTGACAGAAACTGAAGACCATTGCCAACAGCTATCTGTGGACCACTTTCAATCTGAGTTTTCTTTGGTGCTTATGTAACAAAAGATGTTCTGTGCCACATTCACCCTGATTTTACGAAATAACCTCTCATTGCTTGTGTTTTAACAAGGACCACGTTTTTTTCATGGGTAAATGCACTACTCACTTTGCCACAACAGTTGCATCAGCCCATCTACAGTGTCTCTTTCTCTACAGCTGATCTTCTCTTCCGTGGCCACAGAAGACGTCATCGTGTTCACTCCCTTGCTTCGGTGCTTTTTTGCGATTGGGTTGGACATAAATAGTCACCCTAGTGGAGTCTGTCTGCTAGGAAAAAGGTTCGGAAAGCCAAAAGATGATCATATGACTGTTACTGCCCACATACAGCACACAGGATGTTACACATTAGTGATCAATAACCCTCGACCATTCAGTTCTTCAGCACATGGATCCTCCATGGACGTGTCCTCAGGGCAGTGAGCTACTTTATGATAACGAAGATGTGGTGAAGGTTCTCTGGTTTCAGGTGGACAGAGCATCCATATCTGGAGAGAATGATTCCACTAGGAGTTAGCTGGGGGCTTGGATTTGGTGTTGGTTTGGGGGATGGGGGGGGGGGGTTACATGTGTACCTCTTATCAGGTTGTAGCTGTCACTATTATCTTGTGAACTTTCCGTTGGCTACTAAGGAAAGGCAGATAGGGTAAAGGAATGTTCTTGGTGAAGAGATGTCAGTTCATTATGCACTGATCGGTCTATAACATTCGTGTTTCAGATGGCACTGCAGGCAGATTATGCAAAAATGGGCCTAAAATTGTACTAGTTAAGAAGGAGTTTGAGGACTCAATTGAGAGCTGTTCTAGTGCAGAAGTTCCGGTTAACTCCTGCGACAATCTGTTGTGTGAAAGCTCAACCAGCGAACTCTGCTGCAGAGCTACACAGTTTGAACAAATCGCCGCGGATGTTACCTGCTACAACTCTGAGACAGGGGTGTATGAAGAGAGGAAGAGGCAGGTGGTAAGTAGAAAGGAAGAAATTGTAGTAGATTTTTTATTGATAATATTCTGTCTCAACTTATATTTGTAACATTCTGTCTCCCTTATATTTGTAACATTCTGTCTCCCTTATATTTGTAACATTCTGTCTCCCTTATATTTGTAACATTCTGTCTCCCTTGTCGGCTCTGTGGCTAAGTCGATGCGAACGCTTCGCTTCCTAATGCCGGGATGCCGGGTTCGATCCCAGCTGCGGGCAGCGCGCCTTGCGTTGGTTTCGACAGTGGTATCAAGAAAGCCGACCGTCCAGGGAGCAATGGCAAACTACTGGACTTAAATTGCCTAGAGAAACCACACAACAGCCAGGGGCTGTTAGGGTTGGTTCTGCAACTTCCTGTAAAGGATACGCAACAACCTGTCTCCCTTATATTTGTAACATTCTGTCTCCCTTATATTTTTAACATTCTGTCTCACTTATATTGATAATATTGTGTCACTTATATTTTAAAAATTGTTTCTGTAATATATAGATAACATTCTGTGTTACTTAAAATGATAGCTTTATTTCCCATTTATCTTAAAACATTCCGTCTCACTTACATTGCGTTTGTTTGTGTGTGTCTTTTATCACTGAATATATTTTCCTGTGAGATATCATCTATATGTTATCAATAAGCAAAGTGTCTGATGAGATAGTATCTCAACGTTATCAATAAGTATGGTGTCTAGTGATATATCATCTATACAATATCAGTGTCTCCTGTCTAGTAATGTATTATCTATACGGTATCAGTGTCTCCTGTCTAGTAATGTATCATCTATACGGTATCAGTAAGTTTCCTGTCTGGTAATGTATTATCTATACGATATCAGTTAGTCTCCTGTCTAGTAATGTATCATCTATACGGTATCAGTGTCTCCTGTCTAGTGATGTATCATCTATAGGATATCAGTGTCTCCTGTCTAGTAATGTATCATCTATACGGTATCAGTTAGTCTCCTGTCTAGTAATGTATTATCTATACGGTATCAGTTAGTCTCCAGTCTAGTAATGGATCATCTATACGGTATCAGTTAGTCTCCTGTCTAGTAATGTATCATCTATACGGTATCAGTTAGTCTCCTGTCTAGTAATGTATCATCTATACGGTATCAGTAAGTCTCCTGTCTGGTAATGTATCATCTATACGATATCAGTGTCTCCTGTCTAGTAATGTATCATCTATACGTTATCAGTAAGTCTCCTATCTAGTAATGTATCATCTATACGATATCAGTTAGTCTCCTGTCTAGTAATGTATCATCTATACGATATCAGTGTCTCCTGTCTGGTAATGCATCATCTATACGGTATCAGTAAGTTTCCTGTCTGGTAATGTATCATCTATACGATATCAATGTCTCCTGTCTAGTAATGTATCATCTATACGATATCAGTTAGTCTCCTGTCTGGTAATGTATCATCTATACGATATCAGTTAGTCTCCTGTCTGGTAATGTATCATCTATACGATATCAGTTAGTCTCCTGTCTGGTAATGTATCATCTATACGATATCAGTTAGTCTCCTGTCTGGTAATGTATCATATATACGATATCAATGTCTCCTGTCTAGTAATGTATCATCTATACGATATCAGTTAGTCTCCTGTCTGGTAATGTATCATCTATACGATATCAGTTAGTCTCCTGTCTGGTAATGTATCATCTATACGATATCAATGTCTCCTGTCTAGTAATGTATCATCTATACGATATCAGTTAGTCTCCTGTCTGGTAATGTATCATCTATACGATATCAGTTAGTCTCCTGTCTGGTAATGTATCATCTATACGATATCAGTGTCTCCTGTCTGGTAATGTATCATCTATACGGTATCAGTTAGTCTCCTGTCTGGTAATGTATCATCTATACGATATCAGTTAGTCTCCTGTCTAGTAATGTATCATCTATACGGTATCAGTTAGTCTCCTGTCTGGTAATGTATCATCTATACGATATCAGTGTCTCCTGTCTGGTAATGTATCATCTATACGGTATCAGTAAGTTTCTTGTCTGGTAATGTATCATCTATACGGTATCAGTAAGTTTCCTGTCTGATAGTGTATCATCTATACGATATCAGTGTCTCCTGTCTAGTAATGTATCATCTATACGATATCAGTTAGTCTCCTGTCTGGTAATGTATCATCTATACGATATCAGTTAGTCTCCTGTCTGGTAATGTATCATCTATACGATATCAGTGTCTGCTGTCTGGTAATGTATCATTTATACGATATCAGTGTCTGCTGTCTGGTAATGTATCATTTATACGATATCAGTGTCTGCTGTCTGGTAATGTATCATCTATACGATATCAATGTCTCCTATCTAGTAATGTATCATCTATACGATATCAGTGTCTGCTGTCTGGTAATGTATCATCTATGCAATATCATTAAGTTTTCTGTCTGATAATATTTGCTTGTTTGTCTCCCCAGTTCCTATCAGCGAAGTCATGTGAATGTCAGCAACAAATTCAGCCTTAAATTGGACACTTCATCTCTGCTTTTGTAGAATCACCGAGAGCAACAGAGAAGTTTGCCATAAAATATGGCCTAACGATTAACGACATGAAATAAATATTATCAAGCAAATTTTCCCGACTTGTTTTTGTTTCTGTTTACAATATGTGCTGTTCTTAGTGCAAGGGTGCATATTGTATGTTGTGTGATAAGTGTCGATGTATGAACTCTGTGTCTCGTTTTGTTATCGTAGGTCATTTTCCATCTGATCATCAAGGTCAGGCTCTTTACGAAATTCTTTTTCTTCTTTTCTTGTGCATGTGGATTTGGAAGGGCGGATAAAGTCCAGTGGTGGAATGACAACTAGAACTTCATGCTGAAATCTACAGGTCCTACAACAAATGAACCTTCCAGAGTGCGAGGCAAACGGCTAAACCACATAGCTTTTCGATGGATATTACTTCTTCATTTACATTAGCCCTTGAAAGACCTGTGGGCACACTATATTGTGTTTACAGCTTGGCTGCGATATCTGCTCCTTTAGGCCAACAAACCCGATTTAAGCAAACAAACCCCTAATTGATTGGTTGCCTGCTACGACATGCTTGTTAGGGGATAGTTGGTATTTTTTTAACCAAATGGGACCACGAAAGCCACACAGGAAATGTTTCCACTAGGTTCATGTTGATCTGTTGGTTGGCATTCCTGACTTCACTGCCATTCCGTATCACTGGTAATTGACAAGGAATACACACGACAAAACAGAAGAACCGCACTGCGAACTCAGATGACGGGTGCTTTATTAATATCATACCCTGAACAGGGGAAATTCACAGGTTACGGGACAGTCTAATATTTCGGGGGGGGGGGGGGGGGTAGTGTAGATAGGCTGCATACAGTCGTGGGACCTAGGCTGCAATCTCTCGTTTTCTAGCTGTTTTGCGGTCGTTCAAAGCATGAAAAAGCCGGGAAACCTAGTTTTACCACCCTCTAAAATGACTGTCCTGTCACGTCATCTGGGGAGTAGGATAATAATAAAGAACCGAATGACGATATGGCATTTCTTTTAGCTTTGAATTCTTGCCAAAACTACATACATTGCTTTGAATAATTTTCAGTTAACTTATTCAAAAAAACGTAATCGTGCATGCTACATAGAGTAGCATATGGCTGTGCCTGTTCAGCTGTACGGCGTGACAGAGCTGTGGGACGCTGTAGTCCTTTGGAGCTGTAGTAGTCAGGGAGAGGTATGGCTGTGCCTGTTCAGCTGTACGGTGTGACAGAGCTGTGGGACGCTGTAGTCCTTTGGAGCTGTGGTGGTCAGGGGGAGGTATGGCTGTGCCTGTTAAGCTGTACGGTGTGACAGAGCTGTGGGACGCTGTAGGCCTTTGGAGCTGTGGTGGTCAGGGAGAGGTATGGCTGTGCCTGTTCAGCTGTACGGCGTGACAGAGTTGTGGGACGCTGTAGGCCTTTGGAGCTGTGGTGGTCAGGGAGAGGTATGGCTGTGTCTGTTCAGCTGTACGGCGTGACAAAGCTGTGGGACGCTGTCGGCCTTTGGAGCTGTAGTAGTCAGGGAGAGGTATGGCTGTGCCTCCTAGACGTTGCAACATTTCAATTCTCTCTTTCTGACATTTGGTAAAAGCGACAAATGCCGACAATGTGGTTTTTTTTTTTTTTTTATCTTCTAGAAGAGGTTAGAGGAATCGTAGGGAAATAATACATAAAGGTTGTGCAGCTAAAGACGCTTGGCTAAAATAATAAACACAACGAAATTGAAAAGAACACACGCGACGTATATAAAAGGTTACAAGAGCTGTCAGGTTAAAAAAAAATTTGCAGCGGCTAGGTACTTGAAAACAAAAGAATGTGAAATATTATTGGACAAACAGATGGTAAAAGAAGGATGAACAGAGTATATCTTTTTCTTCTTTTCTTTCGCCCCAGTGGCATAATTACCTTGTGCGTGTTTAAATAAAAGCTGCGATATTTGGCCGACACATCTGACTTCACCGAGCATATCTTGATCGCTTAAATTCCCGGGGACAAAGTATACATAGGAGCTATATAACAATATTAGTGAATAACATAACCCTTAACCCTTTAGGGTCGTGGAGTTGTATTGATGGAAGCACTAGCATATAAAACCCGACATCTTTCTCTGTCTTCTGCTTGATGAATAAGTGTATGATAACTTAGTCTGGTCCATTTCTGGATGTTATCATTCCAGGTTCTTCTTTGCCCTCCTCCTTTTCGACTACCTTTCCAACGCTCCTTGAAGTCTTTGCAAATCGAGTCATGTCCCACCACGTGCCCAAACCAACCTAGCTTGCGATGTTTCCCCACTGCCAAGAGAGGCACCTGATGTCCTGCAAATTTGTATATTTTATCTGACGTATCTATTAGTGTTGTGTTCTAAAAAAATTAATTCGTAAAATGCTTCTAAAGCATTTACATTCAAAGGCCTGGATCATCCTTTCCACTTCCACAGTGAGAGTCCAACTCTCACATCTGTGTGTGGGTTCCGGAGCCCCATTGTAGGGAAAACAAGAATAGACCCACTGCCTCCCCAAAAGCATGTCGTAAGAGTCGACTAATTGGGGAGCTTCCTTTGAAGTCGGAGTGCATCTGCCGGGGAGGCAAGGAACCAACAGTCTGTATTCAATAGAATGAGATCTGTAAAACTGATGCACACGCATCACTCAGGTTCTGGAGCAGGACTGCAGTTAAGTAGTGGACGAGCAACCACAACTTTCCACCAAAGTGTACAGCTGGTGAACACGAAGAAGAAGAAGAACATCCGTATAAAAAAATAGACAACATCTGTGATTTGTAAATATTGGCCTTGACTGCGATGCTGATTTTGCTCTTCCACATCGTATTCAGCTACGACATCGCGGCTGTTGCCATATCAAGTATGATCATAAAACAGACCAAGCATAGAAAGCCGTGATTCCCGCGAAGAACAGCCAATATTAAAAGTAGAAGTAGAAAATGCCATAAACAACATAAAGAAATGTAAATCTCCAGAGTCAGATGACTAGTGAAGAATGAGAAACTTCTGGTGAACTGCGTTTAGAGGTTTTGACAAAATTGTTCAAGGATGTTTATAACAGTGGACACGTACCTGATGACTTTATGGAGTTCCGTTTAATAACTTTACCAAAAACATTTGGTGCAGTGGAATGTGAGGAACATCGAACAAAAAGTCTTTTGAGTCTTGTAACAAAATATTTATGAGAATTATCATGAGAAGAATAAGATGCAAAATTTAGCCCGAAACTGGAGAAGAGAAGTGTGGTTTTGATGAGTGTGAAGACACAAAATCCAGAAAGCAATGGCAAATTACTGGACGTAAATGTCTTTAAAAAACCACACATCAGCCAGGGGCTGTTGGGGTGGGTTCTTCAACGTCTTGTAAAGGTTACGCAACTAACCAAAGACACAAAAACTGCAACGTTGTTGGTGTTAGCTCTTTCTACTTGTTTGATCTTTTGAGTGCCTCACTCAAGAGGCAAAGTCTGGACACATGAACGTACATTTATAACACGATAATAGCGTTGTTATCGTTTAATGTTGCACAACAATAAGTCCTTCCGTCCATGCCCACAGTGGTCGCGACAGCCTCCCAAGACAAGACGACAGTTACACAATAGTTGCAGTTACCTGCCAGTCAGAACGTTCTATTCATTCATGTATTGGCATCTGTTTCATTCTAACACAAATGTTCACAGAATAATAGACATTGTCACTCGGTATCAATTGTCCTCAGGCACTCGAGCTTTCCAAACGCTGGTCCTTCAGTTAACACTGAAATTCACCTCAGTCGCATCATCAAACAGCTTATCTCTCACGCGGTCAAAACACAGCTGCCTCTACCTACTCTCTCTGTTCAAACCTCCCCTTCCGGTCTCATGCTTTTCCCGTACATCTGTTCACACAACACGGGATAATTCAGACATGCTTTTCCCGTACCTCTGTTTACACAACACGGGATAATCGAGACATGCTTTTCTCCCTTTTCTCTTGTTTCCCTAGCTCTCTGACCTTGTCCCCTCAATTGGGAACTCTCTGGGATTTCCCTGGGAATTCACTTCATTACACATGCTCACACACTTTTAAGCCAAGGTTAGTTGCGTATTCTTTACAGAACGTTGCAGAACCCACCCTAGCAGCCCCTAACTGTTGTGTAGCTTCTCTAGGCGAATTTACGTCCAGTAGTTTGCCATTGCCCCTGGACGGTCGGTCCCCTGATACCACTGTCGAAACCAACGCAAGGAACATTTTAAGCCAAGACTGCAAAAAATAGGTCCAGACCCGTGTGTTCCATGCACCAATAGCAGGACAAGAGCGAGTACCCTCGTGCCCACCCCTAGCCTCCTACATCCCCTCTCTTTTGTTTCATACAGAGATCAAAAGTCTGTTGCCCAACATTAAAAGTAAATGTTAGTTTACACTCATCTAAAAGTCTGTTGGACACAATTATCAGACTAGGCACAATACTAAATGTTGGCTATCCTCCGACTAACGGTCGGCAAAGATGGCGGCGCAAAATATCTTTTCAAACCAGAGTCGCGTGACTAAATTTCCGGTTCTCCGGCGTCTTTCCGGCGACTATCACCACCGTCACGTGTCCCCCACAACGCTCACGCGGCGTGGAATGGGGCTAAACTAGATGGCTAGGACCCACGAGCAGCAGCCGCGGTGTGTTCGTGACCGCTAGTGAACAACTGACACGCGGCTCTGGCTTGAAAGGATTTTTTGCGGCCGCCATCTTTACCGACCGTAAGATGGAGGATAGCCTAAATGTTTATTCAACACTAGAAGTCTGTTGCACAAACTAAATAAATGTTGCACAATATTAAACAACATCAGACGTCGTTTGTACAATATTAACGACCGGATGCACAGCATTAAATGTCGGTTGCACAGCATTTAACATCTGTTGCACAACATTAAACATCGGGGCTCTCCTTGGAATAACGGTCCCAAATGAACTACGCAGAAAGTTAACCCAAACAGAGCCTGGCAACGCAGACAGTTAACCCAAACAGAGCCTCACTCATATGTAAAATTCGCATTTTTTTTTGCGGCGATTCAACCGTGTCAAAAGTAGAATTAACTGCGGACGACATTTTCGCGAAGCGCAACGGATTTTTTTACGGTAACTGCGAACGAAAAAATTACCGACACGCGAGAATACTCCCGATAGCGCTATCCGACGGCAGGGCCCGAGCTATATGTATGTTGCGGATCGCTTTTCGCCGACTATAGTGCCACCTCTGAGAGTATCCCCGCGCCGCTACGCGCGGCGCGGAAGTGGCTAAACTAGATGGCTAGGACTCTCGAGCAGCAGCTACCGCAGCTCCTGCAGCTTCCTCCAATGTATTTACGCGGTGGATACTCTCAGAGGTGGCACTTTAGTCGCCAGAAAAAAAGTCAACAATTAGAGTAGCTACTTCGTCTGCCGGAACTACCAGCGCCATCGTGGCGGCTGCTGGTTTGAAGTCCGATGCGACATGCGCGTACATTAAAGCGCGCATTAGAGTTGATCACGTCTCGCTCGGAACGAGAATCGCGGACAGGCCGTGCTGAGTTGCGATAGCGGACACCGAGAAACAACAGATATTCGCGCACTAGTTGCAACTAGTGTGCCACAATTTTCACATGTAAAGGATTTAATTTTCGGTAAGTAGTAGACTTTGCCCTTTTCCTGAGACTTTTCGTTCCTTATATTTCCCGAGTTACAGCTTTTAAATGTTCGTAGGGCAGGACGTAATAAGGCTCTGTTTGTGTTAACTTTCTGCGTAGTTCATTTGGGACTGTTATTCCAAGGAGAGCCAACATCGGTTACACAGCATTAAAAGCATTAAACGTCAGTTACACAGCATTAAAAGCATTAAACGTCAGTTACACAGCATTAAAAGCATTAAACGTCAGTTACACAGCATTAAAAGTCGGTTACACAGCATTAAACGTCGGTTACACAGCATTAAACGTCGGTTACACAGCATTAAACGTCGGTTACACAGCATTAAAAGCATAAACGTCGGTTACACAGCATTAAAAGTCGGTTGCACAGCATTAAACGTCGGTTACACAGCATTAAACATCGGTTACACGGCATTAAACGTCGGTTACACAGCATTAAAAGCATTAAACGTCGGTTACACAGCATTAAAAGTCGGTTGCACAGCATTAAACGTCGGTTACACAGCATTAAACATCGGTTACACAGCATTAAACGTCGGTTACACAGCATTAAAAGTCGGTTACACAGCATTAAACGTCGGTTACACAGCATTTAACGTCGGTTACACAGCATTAAAAGTCGGTTACACAGCATTAAACGTCGGTTACACAGCATTAAAAGCATTAAACGTCGGTTACACAGCATTACAAGTCGGTTACACAGCATTTAACGTCGGTTACACAGCATTAAAAGTCGGTTACACAGCATTAAACGTCGGTTACACAGCATTAAACGTCGGTTACACAACATTAAACGTCGGGTGCACAGCATTAAACATCTGTTGCACAACATTAAACGTAGGGTGCACAACATTCAACGTCGCACAACATTCACTACAAGCCTGTAAGCTTGTTTATTTCCTTCCATGCATTCGTCCCCTGGCACGATTATGTAAAACCACGTATCTAAAGCTGTCAGTGTAGAACCCCGTGGGAAACAAAAATATGATATTATGATGTGTTGAAAGCAATAAAAGTAAAGATCCCTTTTCACGTCTTGGGCGCATCGGGCAAATAAAAAGAGCACCATATTTGTACAGACCAATTGGCCCTAGGTGAATAATTTGGTCAACATTACGCCTGCCGTCTTTACTTCCCCATGACATAAATCCTCGTAGGTACCTACTTTATACTGGGTCGACATACGACGTCCTATACCATGATAAAAATCCACGCAGCCAGCAGTTGGTTTCGATCGTGGTATGTTGGAATTACGAGTCGGTCTCGCAACGCCTTAGCCATGGAGGCCGCCTTGAAAGCAAAACATCAATATTAATCATCGAGATATTTACAGAACGTTGCTCTTATCAGGCACACATTGAAGTCTATATTTCTGTATCCAATTCTTTAGCCCTTCGTGCTTCCATACCCAATGCATCTTTAATGACTTGTCATTAACATCATGGCACACGGGTGTAACCCATAAGTGCTCCGTTCTACTTCTAACTCAAGTCTGAGTCCGAAGAAGCTCAGCACAATGCACAGGCTCTGTAGCAGCGGCGATGATCCTGAAATACTTTGGGTAGATTTTTAACTCCAAATTTTGCCCGAGCAGCGCCGTAAGGCTACTCTTTTCGATTTCTAAATGCCAAGGGATTTTTTACGTGCTCAGCAATGCACACGGGCGTCCGATCTCACTGCCCAGAGACAAGGGGGAATTACTAGAAGTCCAAGTCCACGTGAAAAAATCCCAGCCCTTACCGGGAATTGAACACGGAACCTCTTGCACTCGAGGTGGACACCATACCTCGAGACCACGCAGCCCCTGCATGCCATATAGAGACATTTTAACAAATGAATCCTGAATACGTTTAACAGGCTCGAAACACACGGTTCAGCAGCCTGAAGATCTTGAAGGTTTATTCTGGTTTGAAAATGCCAACCGGCCATTAGAGAAACATTGGCAGTTAATAGTGTTAGACGATAACACGGGGAAAATCAGGCCATGGGGTATTTCAATGGCCGACTGACAATTATTTGGCCTTCTCCTATATGGTGGTCGCTCCGGTTTGCTACGGTCAAGACGCAATGTTGTCGTTGTCGACTGCACTTGGACGCAATGCACAGGTGTGTCGGATCGGAATGGCTGAGCAACGCTAGATTGGCTTGGCTCATGGTCCGTTCAGTTGGTTAGTTTTAAAATAGATCTTCATTTGCATTCTTGCTAAGAGAAAGTCAGATGGTAGATCGCTATATATTTGAGATTTTTTTTCAGCAGTTTGTCGTCCTTAATGTCATTATTTGTTGACCACGCTGATGTAATGTTGAGTAAAATAAACTGTTTAATGTGATCATAATTCATTTGCTTGACTAAATTTAGGATCTGTAGCCCGTCGTTGTCTAGGTGTGTGTACCCGTGTAGTTAGGTCGACCTCATGTAATGTTATTATGCAGATATCCATAGTTAGGGTCTCGGTGAGATATCTGTGATCTCTGCGGAGAAGAACGCCTGTCTTTTCTTTACTTTTCTGTTTTTGTTGTTTAGCGGGGAACTACTATGACTTTTGTCTAATCACAATTTTCTCCTTTCTCTCCCTTTCTTCTTGTTTTCCCTCCTTCTTTCTTCCCGCTATCACACAAGTAATAAACAAGTCAAACAATATATTGAGACCTCGAAGATGTGGTTTTACAGAAAAAGTCGTAAAATTTCGTGGCCAGCTCCTAAAAAATAAGAGCAGTCCAGATGTTTTGAAAACGACGAGGTCTAACGACAACTTATCAGAAACTTCAACAATTTTTTTTTTCCCGTGATGATATTGTGAGAAGAAGGAAAAGATCTCTGGAAAAGGGGACGGAGGAAAGTAAAACGAAAAGATTCTTAACAGTTTTTTTTTTTTTTTTTGGGGTCATAAAATGGAGGGGTGTCAACACACGCCAGTCCTTACTTGGACACGACAGTCGGCAAGTCACTTGATGACGAAGATGATTTTGAAGAACACGTGACGTTCACAAATGTCTCCGTCTCTATGGAAACGTGTGTTACCAATGGTGATTTCCTGTAAACAAGAATGGCGAATCCTGAAGAAACGCTCGACAAGCCAAAGAGTAAAAAGGTGTTTCTAAACCACATTGATTGCTTTCAGGGCAAAAACATCGGCAAGGTAACTTTTATTTTGAAAAAAAAAATGTATTTTCTCTTTATAAAATACGGCTAGTATCCTCCTGAATGGGTTCCTGTGCTTAAAGCCGTTGGCAAGAGTGGAATGTCACAGCTGGTATTCGCGTAATAGTTAATTAACAGATTATCTTCATTGCAGATCAGACAAGTCTATAAGCGCTCGGATCTCATCTTCAGTTTATCCCTCAGCGAGTGGCGACTGACAATACCAGTTCTGTGTTGGTTTACTATTCTTCTTTGGCTGCCTATGTAGTGTTTATGTTTGTCGACACCTCTTTCGACCTGAAGTTGGTGTAGTCTTTTTAGTGTTGCCGATTCAACGACGTCTCCTGGAGCATCTTCTCGTCCTGTCTCTTTGAGAGATTTAACAGCGTCGGCCAGTTCAATGCTTTTCTTCTACTTACTGTGGCCCTGCCAGCAAGCCAATCCGCTTGTTCGTTCCCTCTTACGCTAGAGTGTCCTGACACACAAACTGATTCCTAATAGGCGAGTTTTTCTCAGCGACTCTAATCATTTTCTTCGAATCGATCCAGTCCCTATCTTTTTAAGCACGCTCATGGAATCCTTTAGAAAGCACGCACGGGAAAACTGCTGAGTCTCCAGCCACATCACTGCTTTTGTTACCGCCATCACCTGACTGACTGTCTGACTGACTGACTTTCTACCCCACCAGGACATCACACAAGCGATAAACACCCGATGACACTATGTGCGACCATGTGGATGAGGATCACCGTGGAGAGGTCCCAGAAACTGCGTTCAGTCTCTAGGCCATATTTATGGCCAGACATATTGCGGCCCTTGGCAAAAGCCAGGGTAGGGCTTTAAAAAAATGTTATTCTAAAAAGGACGGGAAGAAATATGTGCCATCACCTCCATGCACTGACTACTTGTAGTCGAGGCGAAAGCCAGACTATCCGCAATTCGCTGTCCAATGTAAGGCGTTAAGAGAAAACAGACTAGGAGAGGCAGGCCAAACGGTTAGAACGCTGAGGCTCTCAAGCGGGAGAATCCGGTTCGAATCCGCTGTAAGGTTGGAGTTGTTTTTTGCTGTCAGGGGTAAAAACAAAATCCTTACCTGCACAGGGCGTTGCGACAGCACTTACCATGTGGTCCTTAATTCGAAGGCTCAAAGATCCATCTCTCTCACACCTAAACAGTAAAAGATCAATACAGGCGGCAAACACAGCAACTGCTGTAGCAACCCTATGTGTTCTCAAATTGTTGAAGTTAAACATCGGGATTGCCTTTTACACATCTGTAATTTAATTATGTTTTTGTTTTTAAATGTTGTTCTTGAAATATTAAAAGTCATTTTATAAACGGGGGGGGGGGGGGGGGGGGGGGGGGGGGGGGGGGGTGGCTCCTATACACGGGGGTGTCTTATTCACGGGGACGTCTTATACATAAGGGCGTCTTATACACTGGGGCGTCTTATACACAGGGGCGTCTTATACATAAGGGCGTCTTATACACTGAGGCGTCTTATACACAGGGGCGTCTTATACACGGGGGCGTCTTATACATAAGGGCGTCTTATACACGGGGGCGTCTTATACACTGGGGCGTCTTATACACTGGGGCGTCTTATACACTAGGGCGTCTTATACACTGGGGCGTCTTATACACGGGGGCGTCTTATACACGGGGACGTCTTATACACGGGGACGTCTTATACACGGGGACGTCTTATACACGGGGACGTCTTATACACAGGGGCGTCTTATACACGGGGGCGTCTTATACACGAGGGGCGTCTTATACACGGGGGGCGTCTTATACATTGAAAACTACGGTAAATGTTTGTTGAAATCATATGTGCTGGGTCAAAAGACGCAGATATAGAAATCTACTGAAAATCAAAACAATATGTGCCCACCTCACGTATGATGGTAAAACAAGAAGTACATGAATACAAAGATCAAGGCTACGTTAAGTCCTGGCAAGCTGGGGAGTAAGAAGCTGCAGTTGGTTCTCCAGTTTAGGCCATCACATTAATTGAACAGTCATACTGATTGTCTGGTCCGGCACTGTTTGGTGGTAAACTGTTGCACAACAAGCTAGATGTTGTGAGAGCTGTTTGGTGGTAAACTGTTGCACGACATGCTAGATGTTGTGAGAGCTGTTTGGTGGTAAACTGTTGCAGGACAAGCTAGATGTTGTGAGAGCTGTCTGGGAGTGTGTAAACAGGGCAAATAGCACCACTGTATACAGACGTCCGGGTTGCCCGGCTCTCTAGCGTAGTTGGTTAAACCTGACATCGCGGTGACCGGGTGACGAAATCCTTGTGGTCCTGGTTCACTCCCCGGGGGTGGGGTAGGCAGAAAAGCCACATTTCTCCCAGATTTACGGTACCTATCATGAAATCAAGGCCGAAGGGCTTCGATATTCATAGTACTGAGCTAAAGGGTTAACAACTCATGGTTTCTGGATTTAAAAAAAAAATACATACGTCAGGCAAAAAAAAAAAAAAAAAAAACAAACAGTCACTTGCATACAGTCTGTCTGAGAAATATACTTAACATTAAGTGGCAAGACCTGGTCCCGGACCCCCAGCATCAATACCATCCTGATGCAGTCACAGGTTCGATGAGCTGGCCTTATTGTTCGAATGCCTGACCATCGGCTCCCAAAAATAATCTTCTGTATTGACATAAATAAAGGTCAACGTTCTCATGGGAGCTAGAAAAAGCGCCTCAAGTACACAAAGGCATTATTAAATGTCTTCTGTATAAACCCTGACACATGGGAGGCTGCAGCACAGGACCGTACTTTATGAGGTACATATATCCGAAATGGTCTGCGAGGCATCTACAGCGAGGGCAGCTGAACAGCCAAGAAGGGCCGGAAAGAACCTTCAAACAGGCCCTTTGTCTACAGACACTTTGCCATGTTCCCATTGTCCTAGACTCTTCCGGGCACGTATTAAAATTAGAAGTCACCTCCGGACTCACAAACATTCAACTGCAGCTTTATGACGGATGAAAGAAAGAATGGTCCTTATTACTTGTGGTTGACGAACGAACGAAGAAAGCAGTTCAGAGGCACACTTAGATCCCCAGAGTGTAAAGATAATTGTGCAGCGAGAAATGGCTGAAGGATCTGGCCGACGCTCAACTCTGACGAGAGGAGCGAGACGGGCATAACAGCAGATTCTTACTGGTACCATCAGAACTGGAATTCAGTACCTGCTGCTAAAGATGGGGTCGGGGCACTTATGGAAATATCTCGAGTGCTATGATATGGGATCGCAACTAATAACTCATCACACGAATTGTGCTAGGCAGCGTAAATATTGCTATGAACAATTTGTCAATCTATCTGCTTTTCATTTACGGAAATGAGCAAGTTGATAGGATTGCAGGTGACGCTACTGTGGAGGGAGAACGTGCCATGGACCAGGCTGATATTCTAAATGCTCTACGAGAAGTAAGACTATGTGATGACTGAATATGCAACCATTACCAGACTACAAGAACAACATGTCAAAGGGGGTGTAGCCAGACAAGAGCACTATGCAGGAAGCCAAAGAAGAATAAGAAACCAACACAGAACTGGTGTCGTGAACCGCTAAACGCTGCGGGGTTTACTAATTAGGGGATCCGAGCACTTATGAACTGAACGATTCGTGTGCAGTGATGATAATATGTCGACTCACTAACTAGCTGATTCATGGTAGTGGGGGGAGGATAACTTGAAGTCAGTCTAAAAATCATCAGTTGGAGATGCCGGGTTTCAAGAGAAATATGGTTCCTGCATCTTTCAAAGACAATGGTACCAAAGTCGCACCCCTGGAAGAGATTTAAGCTTCCAGTTGTTATATTCCCAAATAATATTCCCAAATTATATTCCCAAAAAATATTCCTAAATAATATTTCTCAAATACAGCAGTGGTACCCGGTAGTCGACCTTCACTGATAGGGTAGTGATAATATATTGAGCTGACAATCAGATATCCCACCAACACTGTAAACCAAAATCGGGAAATCCCACTAAAATTGTGAGCTGAAAAGGGGACATTCTAGGCAAGTCAGTTTATTTTACCCCACACAACTTTTCTAGGTCACCGGGGTGAAAATATTAATTATTTTCATTACAATGGTACTAAAACCTGCAGCATTGTCACCAAGAAATAAACAAAACAATCTAATCTTCAACAACACTGAACAATAGACACACGCTATAATTCAACATCCCACCATCATATTTGGGAAAGGAAATGTATCTTTCAGGCATGAAATGTATCTTTCAACGCAAGTGTGTGTTCTATTCTCGATCTAATTCCTATTTTTTTTTTTTTTTTTTTTTTTTGAATGAACGCAGTCGTCTGGTTGACTGATTACTTGTAATAATAACACGAAAACCTTGAACCGGCAGACCACACACACTAGATCACTAACAACACAAGAAAAGACATAGTTACGAATACTAGCGTTAGAGAGAAAGTCGAAATGAGGCCATGTTTGAATAATATTGACAGACAAAGAATTAAAGGGTTCAGCCATCTAGTGAGAATGCAGCCAGACCGAACTGCGTATGAAACTTTTTATAGCAAAACATCTGAGAGAAAGGCGAGAGGGAGATTAAGAAATAGATGGATAAATGGTGTAGCTGAAACGTGCAAGATTATTTTATGTCAATGAGCCACTGTTGCGAAGAAGGGAACGCTACTTTAGCTTTGCTTGTCTGACAGTTCCTCTCAGGATGTGTTGTTGGCGCCACACTAGACCCCGCCGGAGCAGACGACCGAGCTAGAGCCGCCAGCGTCCTCACCGACGACATGAAGAGCAACAAGGAAATATACGAGATCGTGGGCACTGCAAAAGACAGAGATAAGCCGAAGCCGGACTTCGCCAAAGAGATTGTTCAGGTAAGGTGATGTTTGATTGTGGCAACGTTTAATAAAAAGGGTGGCCCTTTTTCCTGTTACATTTTCCAATTTTCCAAATTCCGTCATTGTTCTCACATTCCATGTCCCTATACCCAAATTTAGTGAACAAATTATTAAAAATTTGAAAGCAACAGAGATGTGGTTTCTGAGACGAATATTACGAATACCTTGGACGGCTAGAGTAACTAAAAACGATTGTTTGAAAGAAGCTTATAAAAGTCATCATTATCATGTAGCAGGTCCTTTGCAGAACGTCGCTCTCATAACGGTCTGCCTGACAGAAACGGTGTCTCGCCAGCTCTTCTGCCTCTTGATATGACCAAATTATTTCAGCTTCTGAAACAGGATGCTGTTTATTGGCCAGTCTTCCTTGATGTTCAGATCTTTCAAGATGTCAGTATTTCTCCTCTTCTTTGTCGAAGATATGATTATAATCTTTCTAAAGCTTTCAGCTCAAAAGCCCCTATTCTCTTTCTTAAGGACTGAGAGAGAGTCCACGACTCACATCCGTATGTAGCCACAGGGAAGATGCATGCTCTCAAAATTCAAATTTGTATCTCCTTGCTGGTGCTTAACCAAAGACTTTTAAGGCTGTTTAATCTTTGCATTGCTATAGTCATCCTCCTTTTAATTTCTGTCAAACAGTCTCCATTGTTGTTTATTATAGAGCCTAGATATTCAAAGTTTGTGACATTTTCTATTTCTTCATCATTTTTTTTTTTTTTTTTTTTTTTTTTTTTTTTTTTTTTTTGTTTGTTATTTGTGAAGATAGGTCTCTATTTACAACGAAAAGAAGGAGACAAACACTGTTCTTTGGCTATGTTATGAGAAGAGAAGCATTAGAAAACTGGAAAGATCAGTGGAAAGAGGGGTAGAATGTTGAATGTTGAATTAGGAATCGACATCACAGCACTCGGGACACTCCCATTAGCGCTCCGTCCTCATCTTCAGCAGCAAGCGAAGAGTTAAAATTCCGATGGTACCAGTAACAGTCTGATTGTATATCCGTCTTGGCCAGATCCCATTGTAACTCCTCGCAGTGCCATTCTCCTCAGACCATAATGATCTATCTGTTTCTCGTCCATGTTCACTCGCTCCCAAAGGGCCCTCACAACATCCAGTTTGTCATATATCAGTTCACCACAAAGTGGTGCAGAACCGGCCAGTCTATCCGCCAGCTCATTTCCCAACACACAGGCGTGACCTGGATAAAATATCCAAAGGATGCTAACTACCCGGGACCTCTGAAGTGATGCTTGCCACTCTGCACGGAGCATGCCTGTCTCGACCTTTCTCAGCATGCTCTGTGAGTCAGTTACAATGACGAAATTTGTGTACAGCTTATTCTCAAGCCAACGGAATGCAGCAGTGACTGCCTCCGCCTTCATTCTCAAACTAGACGTTGTGATATCATATGCCAGGCTTTGTTGCCCCAAGCGACGTCCAATGGTTTACACCCGTGTCACGCAATCGTGTTAAAGATTCGTAATAACCACTAGTATAGTCCGTACAGTGTTGATGAGAGATGAAATCTACTCTGGTCATGTTTTAGAGAATATATATTTGTATATATTGCAGTACGACAACCAGATGCAACTCTATGAGTACCTGGTGGAGTGTGATATCATCATATACGATATTACAGATGACGCCGACCAGATACCGGAGGCTGTCTGGATCATCACAGGTAACAACTGCCTCTTGTATATGTATTATATACAGATTTAAAGAAGCGTCTGGTCGAGTAATTAGAGCACCTGGGTTCTTTTTGACGAGACTGAGGTTCAAATCCTCGGTTCTTTTTCTTTTACGTTTAATCTTAAAAGTACGCCTGGCGTTCTGTGTTGTGGTTTACAACTTGCCGGCGATATTTTCATCTTTTAGACATAAACAGGCCACTGGAAACTTACAAGGTGAGAATTCATAGTAGATGTGATGGATACGGTTTCTAATGGGAGCAAGACAATAATATCCTAGCCTGCACAGTTCGTGGCGACTACACTAGCCATGCGGTCCGTCTAAAATCCTCAGGCTCAATCATCATAGCCCATGGCGATGGCGAGTGTGACCAGCAAGACCTATCTGCGTTAAGAAAAATTCTTCCAAAATTATGTTATGGAATTTCAGGACCATTGTTGTTTAGTCTGTTTCTTCACAGAAGCTCGGCTCTTATCCTGTCTGCAATCATTTCTTCTGTCATTCTTATTTCCTTCTGGGTGTGCTCCCTCCACACAACACGGTCCTGGTATTCTGTTCACATGAGTCCACTTTAATACATGTATCATTCATGTCCCGCTTGCAAACCTCTTTATATCGTCATAGAGGTCTACCGCAACATCTTCCACCCGTCTTAACTCCACCACAAAAGATGTCCTTAGGGACTCTGCCATCCTCCATTCTCCAGGTGTGACCCAGACACCTGAGTCTTCGTAAACTAATCATTGAGAAAACTGTTGTAGTACCTGCTCTTTCCAATATCCCAATTGTGAACTTGTCCTGCCACTTAATGCCAAGTATTCTTCTTAAGCATCGCATGTGAAAGCTTTTTAGCCGCCTCGCCTGGTGCTAATAAGTTGACCAAGTTTCTCTGCCATACAGCAAAGTGCTGAGAATACAAGCCTGAAAGACAAAAGAGTTTTTGTGTTACCAGATTACCAGATTACTGTTTTAACCGTGATATTTCTGTTCTGTCGAACTCTAAATCAACGCATTGTTGCTGCCTTACCTATCCTAACGTTGATTTTTTGGGTCCAGCGATAGTTTGTTACTCACTGTCGATCCCAAACAGATAAAATGGTCAACTGTCTCTAGCACTTTGCCGTCATTTTAAGACTTCAGGTCTTTCATTAACACCATCAACCATTACCTTTGTCTTCGTTTCGCGGACTGTTACTCCAAATTTAAAGTATATATATATATCATATGCAGTTTTGTCTTGCTGCATTCTCACTAGATGGTCGAACCATTGCATTCTCTGTCTGTTAATTAACATAATCCAGAGATAGCACAAGATGTATCGATGCTTATAATTTGCTGGTGCTCACTAGAAATGTACTCGGATCTGGACAAGATCGAGAAGCCCAAAGTGTTTATCCTGATCTCCACCTGCATGACCTGGTCAAGAACAGCAGTGCCAGAAACGGTAGGTGAACTTGCGTGAACATTTTATGTTTGGCTTTTGAATAAGCTGTAACGGCTAGACACTCGTCTGCAGTCCGAAGGTCGTGTGTTCAAATCCGAATGGAGCCAGACTTTAAAAAAAAATCATGGCTATCAGATTGACCCAGCCTTGAGTGGGTTCTGGGTGCAGTCCTAGGAAGTAAAGGCGGCCGGCGTGATGCTGACCACATCACCATCATGTGCCGTTCGGTCTATAAAACCATAGGTCTAGCTCTATATACCCTATACGTTTAAAGACGTAGAAAATGGCCCTTTAATTTACTTACCAGGTCGACCCAGCGTTAAATGGATGCTAGATACAAACCTGGAAAGTAAAAGCGGCCAGCGGATTGTTGACCACATGGCCCATCGAGTGTCCATTGGTCTGTCAAATGTTGGTCCAGCACTATGTAATTTGAAAACATGGAGCCTCTCGTACAACGTCACAACATCCAGTATGAGAATGGAGGTGGAGGCGGTAACGGAAGTTTTCCAGTGGCTTTAGAGCAGTTCAGCCCAACATGTTGTAATCGTCACGGACTCACGGAGCTTGCTTCGTAAAACAGAAACTGGCATCTTGAGCGCAGTTGGGCTTCCATTGCTTGATAAGACTCAGGGGAGGAGCGTATCGCGGATTTTCTGTCCAGGACAGTCGGGTGGGCGGGAAAATTAACAGACTGAAGATTGGTTGCTGTAGCTCCCCTGTGTGGTGAGCTACTTAATGACAAAGCGGAGGTGGTGAAGGTTCGCTTGAATCGAGTGGATGGTGCAACAGAATAGACCGTGCATCCATAAACAGACACACTAATTCAGCCGGGGGTGAGCAGATAGTCAACACTGAGGGAAGACAGGCGGACTTTTAATCAGTTTGGAGTCCGTACTGTTAGCATGTCGACTGTTTATTGGTTAGCAAGAAAGGAGGCGGAGCCCGTGCGGGAATGTTTTAAGTGCAGAGTTCATAGTTCAGGACTCGTGTCTCCGATTTGAAATTTTTAAAATAAAACTTGGTTCCTAGGACGACCCGGGCCTACATGGGTACCAGGAATAGTCATGGGAAGTAAAGGAGGTCAGCGTGGTGTGACCACATCACTCACGGAGTGCCGATTGCTCTATAAATATATGTCTAGACCCCTATGCCCAATACGCCTGTATGCGTGGAAGAGAGGCCCTTCTCTTAGCACCTGAGTGGGCTATGAACAGATGCTTACTATCTTGTTTTATCGAAAACTTGGATCAGCTTAAAATATGGTTTTTCTGGAGATAGTTCACTTTGAGAGAATCGTCTTTATTGTCTAGGTACATCCCATTTGGTTCATTCTCTTGTAGCAGAATAGCTAGATACCTGTCAAGAGCATCCCACAAAGCGCACACTCTGTAGCTCTAGCAACGATTTCCTATTCAGGACTAGTAACATACACTCCCACTTAAAACCAACACAGCAAGGAACTAAAACTCAGGCGAAAATCATCGCCACAAAAGAAACAAACTTAAAATCAGACAGCAAAAAAACCCGTCCTTGATAAAACAGGCCGTCAGGCGGTTAAAAAAAAGGATCAAGCTTGTCATTTTTGTTTTCTTACAACGAACGAACGAACTAAACGACGCGACGGTGAAAGAAACTTTTGACCTTCGGAAGGTGTGGCAAACTGATTGACCTATTCGCTACAGGGACATCTAAGAAGACCTTGGATCTCACCGGCTGTCAACTCCGGCGGAAAGTCTCTCCATATTTGTCTTGTTTCAGAACTTGAGTTTTGCGTGCACTCTGTTTTAGAGGTCTGGCTTACTTGTGTGCAGACTTTTGGTTCCTCGCTTCTCATGCACTGCGACTTCCATGGAGATTCCCCAGATTGGTCGCCTTGTACCCGGGGAGTTCACCCGGTCAACAAATGCTCCATGAAATCGGATGTGTCGGCCGAAAGGCGTAAATATCGCAGCTCTATTGTAAACAGACACGGCAAGCTTATGTCATATCATCATCGTCATCATGATCAGGTGCCTTGCCGACTGGCGTGGGCGATCATGCCTCTCCATAATCCACGATCTCCTTCAGCATATATCAGTTCGTGTGCCGACACACCTCCATGCCATGCAACAAGACTGTCAAGAATCTTCTCTCGTTGTCCTCCTCTATCCCCCCAAAGATCTTTCCAGTGGTCACAACATGTTTTATTTTCCCTCTTCTCATAACATGGCCCGAAAAATGATGACTGTCTTCTTCTGACGTCAGTGATAAGTTGTCTTCGGGCTCCCGCCTCTTTCAAAACCTCTTTGCTGCTCTTTTTGGCTGTCCAGTGTATTCTAAGCATTCTTCTGTAAAACCACGTCTCTGGGGCTCAAGAAATTGTTTGGCCTGCCTACCGATTGTCACAGCCATATGTTAAAACTGGCTCATACAGACGAACGAAAAGGAAAAGAAGCCGAAGTCGCTTTGTGCGATAGGATTGTTAGGAGGCTAGTGAGTCGTCTTAGGTTATCTCCGGAACTCACCTGAGGAAACAAGGCCATTGGAAGATAATAGTTTAAAGTTTGAACAACGGAACAACATCATGGGATACGAGTGTAACCTATAAGTGCTCCATTCTTCTTCTAGCTCAAGTCTAAGTCAGATGAGGCTTAGCACAGTGCACAGGCTCTGTAGCACCGGCGAGGATCCTGAAATACTTTGAGTAGATTTTAAACTCTAAATTTTGCCCGGGTAGCGCCGTTAGGCTACTCTTTTCGATTTTCAACTGCCAAGGGATTTTTTTGTGTGTGCGCAACAATGCACACGGGCGTCCGATTTCACTACCCAGAGACTGGAGAAATTACTAAAAGTCCAAGTCCATGAATTGAGCCCGGAACCTTTAGCACCCTAGGCGGAAACCATACCTTGAGACCACTCAGCACCACCCCCCCCCCCTAATACCCCCCCCCCCCCCCAGAAGAAAATAGTTTAAGATGCTAGGTTGATTAAAGGCGTTCCCCTGAAGCTTATTGTATTATTATGCGCTCAAACAGGAATCCGGAGACGATATGTTTACAGAGGATGATTACAGAAAGAGGAAGCCTCATCCGAACTTTAAGGAGCACATTCATGCAGAAAAGACCGTGCTCAGGCTGGGAAAGATGGTATTCCAGTAGCTGTCTTGTTGTTCGCGTGTCCTCCCTCGTTCTGTTACCGTGTACTCTTCGTTGTTGTCTAGATCAGTGTTAGTAACTAGTCATCCCCTTGTGGGATGCCATTTTTCGTGTTTTTTTTTTTTTCAAGTCCTACCCTGGCTTGTGTCGGGGGCCCTGAACATAGCTGGTCCACAACTGTGGCCATAACGGCTGAAAGGGGTTTCTGTGACCTCTCCACTGGTGATCCTCATTCGCATGGTGGCACTTTGTGTCACCGGGTGTTTGTCGCTTGCGTAATGTCCTGGTGGGGTACAACAAACAAGCAGGCAAGTGGATCAGTGTTCCTAAACGTTTTTCCGCATCCGTGACCCACCAAACAATGGCGATATGTTCATGGTTCATCCGGCAGTTAACCACACATGAAGAAAAAAAAAAAAACGAATGTAGATAACAGTTTATTTGTTAAATCGGATGTCACAACTTGGGTCTACTTTCAAATTTGGCCGGTAAGCTGGACTGCTTCGGCCGGCTTAGCGGGGCTTAGTGGGAGTTATGTCCCGTGGCCGCACTCAAAACAACTCAAAACAAGTCGCGGAAAAAGTCACGAATCAAATGGCATACTTACCTATCATCATCCGGGTGCGTGTAGGGTTGCGTAGGGTGTCTATCATCGTCCTACGGTTGCGTGTAGGGCTGCTTATTGCGTGTAGGTTGGTTGTTTGCGTAAGATGAGGGGTAGGGTTAGGGGTTAGGGTTAGGGTTTAGGGTTTAGGGTTAGGGTTTAGGGTTTAGGGTTAGGGTTTAGGGTTAGGGTTAGGGTTTAGGGTTAGGGTTTAGGGGTATGGTTCGATTTGAAAATTTTCACGTGGGAGGTCGAAATAGTGGCCTTCAATCTGACGTCTGTGGGAGTGGCGCCACTGAAACTCTGTCAAATATGACGCCAATAGCGGGCGGCTGGTGCCCAGTCGCTGGCGAATTGTCCGTGTCAGTAGCATCCACTGTCCGTCGACTGTTTGCGCGTGCATGCGACTGTGCGCGATTATAGGTAACTACGGCGTCACAATTGTCACATCTAACGCTACACCTAACCCTACCCCTAACCCTAACCCTAACGCTACCCCTAACCCTAACCCTAACGCTACCCCTAATCCTAACTCTAACCCTACCCCTAATCCTACTGCTAACCCTAATCCAACCCCTAACCACGCAAATGTATCGGTCATTAAAGCTTACAGATCGGCAAAACACCCACAGACACACACACAAAGCAAAACCCCAGATTTTCCCGCAGCGTCAAAAGAAAAACCCAGATCTGGGGGACACACCCAAGCATTGGCAGCCCTGATGTCGACCTCACTGTCGTGTTTGAGTCGTGACTTTTTCCGCTCGTTGTTTTGAGTGCGGCCACGGGACATAACTCCCACTAAGCCCCGCTAAGCCGGCCGAAGCAGTCCAGCTTACCGGCCAAATTTGAAAGTAGAGCCCACAACTTTACAATTTTCACCTAAAATGCCATATGCATCTTCTTAGAGGTGTCATATACGTGGATGGAGCGTTGTTTTTGATATTCGAAGAGCTACGTCCATTCTTTTTTTCCGTTTGGATTCAGTCTTTTTCGCGCAAACAGGAAGTCCCTGAGGTGTGAATCCTACAGGCTGGAAGATCGTTACATGATCAAGCATCTAGATTGTGATTACAGTTTAGATAAACTGGCTGAATGAGCGTGCTCACAAAGATAGAGATGGGCGGGGTAAGAAAACAGTGGCTAGAGTCTCTAGAGTGGTTGGGCTGACACATATCAGTTTTATATTTGTGCCAGGGCACGCAGGCGTGGAAGGAAATGAGCAAGCTTGCAGTTTAGACTAATGTGGAGGGCGGACGAGCCATGGACCAGGTTGATATTCTGAATACTCTACGAGAAGTAAGACGTTTGCGAGAACCGAGTGATGAATGTGAATCAGCAACTATGATCAAACTGCAAGAACAACATGTTAAAATGGGAGGGTCGGGGCGAGGCGGGGGGAGGGGGTGTGGCCAGGCAAGAGCTCTTTGCAGGAAACCTAACAACAATAAGAAATCAACAAAGAACTGGTGTCATGGGCCATGGCCAAACTTTAGTACTTTCAAAGGCGTCGCATGGGCCGCTACACGCTGCAGGATTTACTAAGGAGGGGACCTGAGTACGTATGGACTAAATGGTTCGATGTGCAATGAGGGTAATCTGTCGACACACTAACTAACTAACTAACTAACTAACTAACTAACTAACTAACTAACTAACTAACTAACTAACTAACTAACTAACTAACTAACTAACTAACTAACTAACTAACTAACTAACTAACTAACTAACTAACTAACTAACTAACTCATCATCATCATGTAGCAGGTCCTTTGCAAAACGTCGCTCTCATCACAGTCTGCCTGAAAGAAACTCGGTCTCTCGCCAGCTCCCCCCGCCTCATGCACTTTCATACTCAAGAAGTCACTTATATCCTGTGCCCGTCTTTGTGTCGGTCGGCCCCTGCCCCTCCTTCCTGGTACCATGCCTTCTGCTATAGTTTTTTTCCCATCCGTCGTGGCGCTTGATATGACCAAAATATTTCAGCTTTCGAGAAAGGATGCTGTTTATTAGCCAAGCTTCCTGGATGTTCAGATCTTTTAAGATGTCAATATTTCTCCTCTTCTTTGTCCAAGATATTCTGAGAATCTTTCTATTGCATCTCAGCTCAAAAGCCCCTATTCTCTTTCTTAAGGATTGAGAGTTAGTCCACGACTCACATCTGTATGTAACCATAAGGAAGATGCACGCTCTCAAAAACTAACTAGCTGGATACAGGAAATGTGACATTCTATGCTTCCAGAACCAGCATCAAAACAAGTCTTGGAGATAACTGCATAAACTCGCATACAGTATTCTTATATGTGATAGACTTCAACATTTGCAGCATGTGACTTCAGAATCGACATCATAGCACTCAGGACATTCGTATAAGTGCTCCGTCTCCATCTTCAGCAAGACGCGCAGAGATCCAATTCTGATGCTACAGTTAATAGTCTCATTATCTGATCGTCTCGCTCCTTCCCTTAGAGTTGAAGGTGGGCGGATCTTCTCTTCACGCCTGGCTGAACCATCCTCTTCAGACCGTAATAATCTGTTTGTGCCTTTGCGCTGATTACTTGTTCCCAAAAGGTACTTACAACATGGAGCTTTTCATGTATCAATTTACATCAATGTATACATGAAGTGGGGCATATCCAGCCCGGGAAAAAATATCCAAAGGACGCTAACTACCTGAGACTTCGGAAGCGATGCTTGTCACTCGGCACAGAGCACACGTGACTCCACCTTTCTCAACACGCTCTGTGGGGCTGTTACAATCACGACGTGTGCGTCCGTGCAGCTGGATCTTAACCTGGTTCTGAAAAACATGCGTGCACATATTTCTGGATTGTTCAATAGTTTTTTTTTTTTTTTGAGACAGCGAGGGACATTTGTTTTGATTTTCGCTGGCACAGAAATGGACCAAGTTCGGGGAAATCCCTTACGTCCTTCTTAGGACGAAATTTTTTGTTATTTGAAGCCCCACCCTGGCTTTTGCCAGGGGCCGCAATATAGGCAGGCCATCAATGTGGCCAATTGTCTGAACGCGGTTTCTGGGACCTCTCCACGGTGATCCTCATCCGCACGGTGGCACTTTGTGTCATCGAGTGTTTATCGCTTGTGTGATGTCATAGTGGGGTAAAAAGTCAGTCAGCCATCAGTTCGGGGAAACCCGATTGCGGTGAATTTGAAACCTCTACTAAGACTAAGACTGGTTCTCAAAACTGCAGCATCAAGAGAGCAATGTTGCCACTTTTCTTTAACAAAAAAACATCCAAAACGGACTCAAAAAAATATCTAAAAACGTCTAAATGTTCGTGGAAAATATCTTAAAAACACATCCAAATGGAAAGAGACACAAATAGAATAGCAATTGATATGACTTACCCTATAGAATCATGTCCTCATCTTTACTGAAGTCTGCCTCACAAGATCCACAGGATAAACTTAGCTTGGATGATGAAGTTGAAGCTTCAGATCCAAAATGACTCTGGTATGCGTTAGCTGTTCCAATTTCTTTTAATACCCAATTAGGGAGCTGATAACTAGAACAGCCTTTTCCTACTCTTATCGGGCCGAATTTTATTGTCAAGATAGCATTTAAGAGGTCAAATTTCATCCTGTTTCTTAGGTTAGATTTGATAAATTCACTCCAAATAAGAGACATCTAGAAAACATCTAACATCTAAACGTCAAAAACGCCATCTAAATGCAAGGGAGAACATCTAAATCTAGATGTAAAACATCCAAAGTGGCAACACTGCAAGAGAGAAGGAGTGGTCATCCTTAATAGTAAAATACAGATGCGTAGAAGATGTGGGAGTCGACATCTAATACATCACATTCCTATTTCCTGGTGTTCACAGACCAGAAGATGCTGAGGAAAGTTCTGGTTGCATTTCTGGACTTAAGCCTTGTTTCAGTTTCATCACACACTTTCGGCATAAACCTTGGCGGAATACACACAGATTTAATTAGCTAATAAACTAACTTTATTATTCAAAGAATCGAAAAAATTGGGCACGCAGGACTGTCTTATACTCTGCAATTGAGTTTTATCTATGTTATTTACCTATAACAATATGCATACTATGAGTATCCAACGTACAGTTTACAAAAGCATGGATTATAAATGTTTACATTTAAATATACATACTAGATACCTGAACTGACAGGTTTAACTAACTAGAGGTTTGCTACAGTCATATTATTTGGGTCAAAAGCGCAGATATCAGAGCCTAGCTGTAAACCGCAACACAGCATGCCAACCGCCTGTATAAGGCAATCGCAGAATAAGAAAAATAAATATCTATAACAATACGGTTAAGCCGTTTGCTTTGCACATGAGTGATGAGGCTCGGAATTGTAGTCTGTGTCCATCGTTCGCCAGTGCAGGTTGTCTGAAGATGCCCGAGGGCCGCAGCTAGAACTACGTTGTTTCACGTAACTGTGCAGAGAGACACACAATGTTACAGTAAAAGTAATGTTTCGCTCCGCAGATCCCGTTCATATACACACTAGCTCACTTCTTTTTGGTAGACATTGAGGCGTGTGTCCTTGGCACAAGGCTACAGGGGTGTTCCGCATTGCCGTTAATATCGCATTTGTATTTTTCAGCACGCCAGCGCTTTTAACAAACTGGGTCTAACACAACTTCCCCCAGAGAGTGCTGCTACCTGTGTCACAGGCATTTTCTTTCTTGGAACAAAAACGTGAATGGGAGAAAACTCAGAAAGCAAACAATAAAGCGGCACACCCGTAACCTAAAGGAAAGTAGACCAGCACAACAAACGTGACCTACTTTGTTTGGGGAGACTAACGTAAACCTAATCAATGCTTCAACCCAATGCATTTGAGCGTTGAGTGTTGAGCTAAAGAACTGTCGTAACAGCACCGGGACATTCCCATAAGCACTGCGTTCTCATATTCAGCAGCTTACGAAGATTTTCAGTTCCGATAGTAGCACAGCAGTCTGATTATATGTCCGTCTTGCTTTTCCTGTGAGTGTAGAGTATTGACCAGATCCTACAGTCACTCCCAGCTTTACCATTGTCTCCAATTCAAAATGATTTTTTCGTGCCTCTCGAAAACTTACATTAGGTCAAGCCTGTCATGGATAAATCCATCATCCATTTGCGCACAACCATGTAATATTCTCCTCTTCTTTCGTTGGCTTGAAATAGATTATCTATCTTTGCAATATTGTCTCTATTGTCTGATGTAATTCACTTGGCAACCAATAAAGTTTGGCTTACACCCGTGTTTCTCTTGGCCAAAAGTTTTGCATGGAAATGTTGTATTTGGGACAGTCTTGGAGGATGTGATCTGTTGTCTCAGGTGCAAGTCCACATGTACACATGTCTGACTAGTCGATATCATATAATCATGTAGTCTGTCGGTTCATGTCCCAACACTCCTGCATGACCCAGAGAAAATTTCCAATGAACGCAAACTATCCGGGAGCTCTGAAGCTTTGCTTGTCAAGCTACAAGGGAATTGCCCATCCTCGCCAGTCTTAACCCAGTGCATTTAAACAGGCACTATCACAATGCGACAGTTTCCTTTTCATTGGTAATCTTCTTCTTCTTCGCGTTCACCAGCTGTACACTCTGGCGGAAAGTTCTGGTTGATCGTTCTACTGAACTGCAGTCCTGCTCCAGAACCTGAGTGTTACATGTGCATCAGTTTTACAGATCTCATTCTCTTGAATACAGACTGTTGGTTCCTTGCCTCCCCGGCAGACGCACTCCGACTTCAAAGGAAGCTCCCCAATTAGTCGACTCTTACGACATGCTTTTGGGGAGGCAGTGGGTCTATTCTTGTTTTCCCCACAATGAGGCCCCGGAACCCACACTGGGGTCATTGGTAATGTTTCTGTTTGCAGAACAAAGCCAAGTTATCGACTTTTGTTATCTGTTCTGGATTGACATATGGTGCCGAGGAGGACAGACTGCACCATCTGTTCAAGGTAGGCGTTTGATGCCCCGTGCTGGGCGTTGATAATTTTGTGGTCAGTTATAAACGTTGATATCTTGTTGTTGTTGTTGTTGTTGTTGTTCTTCTTCTTCTTCTTCTTTTTCTTCTTCTTCTTCTTCTTCTTCTTCTTCTTCTTCTTCTTCTTCTTCTTCTTCTTCTTCTTCTTCTTCTTCTTCTTCTTCTTCTTCTTCTTCCTATTCTTTAACAAACAAAAAATTGCACAGAAAGTTTATCAGCTTGCCACAATTCAGCACTTCCTGGATGAAAATACACGAAAAATATGTTACGCGTCCTATATCCAAACACTTGTCGACTATAGTTCAACAGTTTAAGATGGTTGTTCCAAATATACTTGTAGGAAATAATTCACAGCTCGGTGTCACGCCACCCACAAGTCGACAGCATTAGTTGTCGCCTTTCTCTCGTGTTTTGTTGCATCCAGTGTCCCTGCTGAAGGTTGAAACCCCAACCTTCCGCTGGAATATTGGAAAAGAACCGAGTCCGCCACTTGAAGGTGAGGCAGGTTTAACTAACAGATGCTAAGAGACCTTGAGGGCCCTGTGTTGTCTAAAGTTACTCCATGCTGCACCGTAGATGATGAATAGCCAAAGCTCAGGTAAACGACTTGAGTAAGTAAAGTTATGGACCCCTCTCCATGCCTTCAGGTGCATAGGGCATATACTGACTGACTTTCTACCCCACCAGGACATCACACAAGCGATAAACACCCGATGACACAATGTGCCACCATGTGGGTGAGGATCACCGTGGAGAGGTCCCAGAAACCGCGTTCAGCCTTTAGGCTATATTTATGGCCAGGCTATATTACGGCCCCTGGCAAGAGCCAGAGTGGGGCTTCAAATAAAGAAAAATTTCTTCCTAAAAAGGACGAAAAATATAATAGGGCATGACCAGTATTTTATAGGGAGTCGCCGTGGCAGAGCGTCTAGACGCTCGCCGTGGATCGGAAGGTTCTCTCCCAGGTCCATCCAGTCTTATGAGGGTACCGGGTGCAGTCCGGGGAGGTAAAGGCGGCCGGCGTGATGCTGACCCCAGCCCCCAACTTGTGCCGATTGTCTGTAAAATGAGGGTCTAGCCCTATATGCCCTATATGCCTTATACGCCTAATAACGTTGAAAAGGGTCCTTTACTGTGTTTGCTTTTTTTCAAAACTATTTTTTATAGACCAGTCGGCACTCGGTTAGTGATGTGGTCAACATGATGTCGGCCGCCTTTACTTCCAGTACATTTTACCTGGTACCCTTCTAGGACTGGGTCGACCTGGGTGCCAATGTCATTTTTTAGAAAGAAAGAAACAATTCCGGCTCTCTATGGGCCCGAAACCCCGACCTTCCGATCAACAGGCAAGCCACTAGCCGCAACTTCACGACGACCACAAGACAACTTATATAAATGGTAACTAGATGAATGTTAAATTTCACAAATGTCAGATTAAACTAAATTAAATTGTAACCAAGTGGTACTGTTAACGGACTGACTGACTGACTTTCTACCCCACCAGGACATCACACAAGCGATAAACACCCGATGACACAAAGTGCTACCATGTGGATGAGGATCGCCGTGGAGAGGTCCCAGAAACCGCGTTCAGACATTTGGCCATATGTATGGCCTGCCTATATTGCGGCCCCTGGCAGAAGCCAGAGTAGGGCTTCAAATGACAAAAATTGAATAAGTACTGTTAACATGCTGTTTCTACTGATAGCTTAATGAAATGTCTTACAGGCGGCCTGGCACAACGCCCCATACTTGCAGTGTTTTGGAGACGGCCAAAACTTTGTACCCACAATCCACATCCGAGATCTGGCAGCGTAAGTGGTTATCTTGACTCTCTGTTGGGGATTGAATGAGGCCGGAGGAAGGGGGACATTTGTATCAACATTTCCATAAGCAATGTTATGATCAGAAGTGCCGACACAACGAAAACTTCATCGGGGGGGGGGGGGGGGCAAAAGCGGACGTGGAACTCAGGCCTCCCCATGTTAAATTTTTACTTGTGACGAGACGATTATTTTCTGTTATTAATTCGGCCGCCCACGATTTTTATAGGCGTAACATAAAACTGTAGAGGAATTGTACAAAGTGAATTATTTACATCCATTGTTCCATTTAAATTGGACGATTCCTCTTGTGAGTTCCGAGGCCCCATTGTTTGGAAACCAAGAATAGACCACTGCCTCATCAACAAGCATACCGTTAACGCCAACAAAGAACCGCATGGGCGTTCACACGACGCTCAGCGGGCAGAACATTCAAAGACGCCAACAGTGCCTTCTTCGTGACAACCAGCAGCACGATGATGGCAATAGCACAAACGCTTCGGTGGCTCCAAACGTGAGTATGATCAAGACAGTTTATGCAGGTCCGGTGCGAAAGCAATGGCTTGAGAAGCCCACAGTTCGTGGAGTCACCTTTATTTTCGTTCCGAGACACGCAGGCGTCGACTGAAATGAAAGAGCTGACAGGCTGACTGGGTCCGCTATCACTACCGACGGTCAATCTATGGATCATGCTGATATTAATAATGCCCTCAGGGAAATGGGAAGGATAGAGGACTTTGGGGGCAGTGAATCCACATCAATCGCCAGAATGATAGACGTGGGTGGTAATATCGGCAAAAACCGATACGCACACCAGGCACATCAGAAGATTGGTAATCAACATAGAATTGGTACTGTTAGCCACCGGATGCTGGGCTCATACTGAGGGGAGGATCTGAGCACCTGTGGACATTTCCGGAGTGTAATGATGATAGCCCAACTAACTAACTAAGCATGTCGTAAGAATCGACAATTTGGAAGCTTCATTAGAAGTCGGAGTGCATCTGCCCAAGTGTCAAGGAACAACCACCTGCACACAAATAAACACGGTAAAATAGTCAAAGTCAAAATGGACGAACAGCGAGGACTTTCCGCTGGAGCAGGGATTGGCCAGCTTGTGCTGCAGAATCAGAAGTTCTTCTTCTTCTTCACAAGCTGTAAACTCGGGCGGAAAGTTCTGGGTGTTCGTCCACTTCTGGACTGCAGTCCTGTTCCAGAACCTGAGTGTTGCGTGTGCATCCGTTTGACAGATCTTACTCATTTGTATGCAGACTGCTGGTTCCTTGCCTCTCAGGCAGATGCACTCCGACTTCGAAGGAAGCTCCAAATTAATCAACTCTTACGACATGATTTAGGGTAGGCAGTGGGTCTGTTCTTCTTTTCCCTATAATAGGGCCCCGGAATCTACACAGGGAAGTTCAACAAATGACTCATGATCATTCCCGCCTAAATGATTTGACTGTATATACAGATGGCTCTGTGGTGAGGGGCAGAAGAAGTGCATGGGGGTTTCTAGCGAAGGCGAATGGACGTCGCTTGGCGCAACAAAGCCTGGTATATGATATCACAACGTCTAGTTTGAGAATGTAGGTGGAGGCAGTCACTGCTGCCTTCTGTTGGCTTGAGAATCAGATGTACGCAGATGTCGTCATTGTAACTGACTCACAGAGCATGCTGAGAAAGGTGGAGACAGGCATGCTCCGTGCAGAATGGCAAGCATCACTTCAGAGGTCTCGGGTTGTTAGCATCCTTTGAATATTTTCTCCAGGTAATGCCGGTGTGTTGGGAAATGAGCAGGCGGATAGACTGGCCGGTTCTGCACCACTTGGTGGTGAACTGATATATGACAAGCTGGATGTTGTAAGGGCCCTTTGGGAACGAATGCACAGTGCCGAGGAAAGATAGATCATTACGGTCTGAGGAGAATGGCACTTCGTGGAGTTACAAGGGGATCTGGCAAACATTCGACACTCAGGGGAGGGGTGAGACGGATATAAAATCAGACTGTTACTGGTACTATCAGAATTGTAACTCTTCGCTTGTTGCTGAAGATGGGGACGGAGCGCTTATGGGAGTGTCCCGAGAGCTGTGATGTCGATTTTTAATTCAATATTTAACATGTCGCCGAAGCTCACAGTCGGTGAACAAACAAAAAAAAAAAAAGAAATCACACTATACATTTTGTTTTGTTTTTTGTCCATCAATTATGCGATACATTGTAAATACCAGCTTTTTGTTTTTCAAATTGAAAAAAAAAAAAGTTTTATTTTGTTTAAAATGTTTTACTTTTCAGAATTGTCCAGAATGTGGTTGACGGTTGGTCAAAATTCCACTATATTATAGCTAAAGACAGCTCCCATAATACCTTGGAAGACATTGTCAAGGTAGGTCACTTTTTCAGACCCGGCAGTTGTTACAGTTTTGTAACGTTGTGTTAGACTTCTCAGTTGTATTTTTGCATCTGGTAGTAATATAAGATGGCGTTTACTATGGTTTGGTCATGTATGTAGGATGATATATATATATATAAATATATGAGTGCGCGTGTGTCTGTGAGTGTGCGTATGTTTTGTGTGAGTGCATGTACGTGTATGAGTGTGTGCGTGTGTCGGTGCGTATGTATGCGTGTGAGTGTGAGTGGGTACCCTCATTATCCTAATTAGAGGTTGGGGAGGGTATTTTAGGTTTGCCTGAAAGACAGCGGGGGTCAAATCGTCGGAAAGGTGGCCAGAGGAGGGGACGAGGAGGAGGATGAGTGAGAGAGTAACAATGAGACAATGGAAAGCTTGAAGAGAGAGGGGATTAGAGGCAAGGAGGGAGAAATGCACGGAGAAAGAAATAACTGTATATGTACATACTCGCAGGCATATAATATATATATACACACACAGATATGAAAAAGATAGAACAAACTATGTTTTCACAGTTAAGAATTGGAAACGGTCGCGCCTAACTTTGTGCCCTTCTAAACTACCTTCTTTCTTACATAATTTCATTCTTATATCCCTTAAGTACTAACGAGAGGGAGAGAGAGAGAGGGGGGGGAGAGAGAGAGAGAGAGAGAGAGAGAGAGAGAGAGAGAGAGGAGAGAGAGGGAGAGATATACGGGAGAGGAATTTATTGTAGATATTTATTAGGGCTGTACAGAATAGTGATTTACACTATTCAGCCGAATACGAATAACGTGACCAACTATTCGGTCGAATACGAATAGCGGGATCAACTATTCGGTTGAATACGTTTGATACACTTTGAGTGTGAAACAAGGAAAAAACTAAACTCTTAGTAGCGAGGACAGACAATTAAAATTTTAACTTTTTTAGTATCTTCATGTTTTCTTTAATAATGTCACAATTTATAGCCGACATTTCTTGATTTTCGCCGCGGCACCCCTGGCATACGCATCCAGTTTAAGAACCTCTGCTATAATGCCTCGGTCGAGTCAGCAGACAAAGACCTAGCCAACTGCTGTACCACGCAACCTGGTCGAAGTTCCCCCCGCTACGACAGACTTAGGCAACAGTAACTGTTGTGTTAATAAGAGAGTTATTTCAGTCCATCACAGTGTATGCAGAAACGGGTGTAAGGTAACCACTATTCGTATTCGGCCCGACCGCAAGTATTCGGCCGAATACCAAATAGTTTTTAGGTCCACTATTCGGCCTCGAAGCGAATACGAAGCGAATATTCGGTACAGCCCTAATATTTATACACATGCTCAAGTAACGTGGAAACATGTCCTCACGAACTGTTTCGTGTCCTAGGCAATCAGCGACAATCTGGGCTCCAAGAAGATCAAGTACATCTCCAAGGAAGAAGCGTTTTTCAACAGTGGTGTTGAGGTGAGTGTCGCTAGTATGTCATCCACAAATCAAGCCAGTTATCGATCTGCGCCAGGCTGGCCCCGGCTGAGTAATCCCGCATCTCCCCTGTAGCATTGCTCATCTTCCCATAAACGTTCCATTCCCATCTTCAGCAACCAGCACAGTTTCAATTCCGATAGTGCTAGTGATTAGTCTGATTGTATATCCAGCTTGTCTTTCCTCTTGTAGACTGGCACCAGAAACAACAGATCACGTCCTCCAAGACTGTCCCAAATGCAACATATCAAGGCAAAACTTTGGCCAAGAGAAACACCGGTGCTAGCCAAACTTTACGGGTCGCTGAGTGAATTACAAAAGACAGTGAAGTTTATACTTGAGACAACATTGCAGATATAGATAATCTGTTTCAAGCGAGCGAAAAATGAAGAAGAAGAAATCATTTTCTCTGTGTGTTGAGGGGCCGCTATGTCTTCTAACCACGCATTCAGTTCTTTACTGCAAGTGTGTCGGACATCCATGAAAGCTGTCACAGGGGCTACTGAGTAAAGAGCTTCATGTGACGCCCTCGTTGACGAGCACAGGCTACAAGGCTAAAGTCGAGAAAACATGATGAAACCTGGTGTCATTAAAATTTGAACCAAATGTAGCAGTAATTAAATCTTATTCTCTTTCCTTTGGAGTGAACAATTCAGGATCGGAAAACAATCATGCCGCACTGGCAACGCGTGGTCTCTACATTACTTTCTGTCTTTCTTTGTTCACCGTTTGTAAACTCCGGCGGAAAGTCCGGCTGGCTCGTCCATCTGGAGTTCGGCTTTGTGCCAGGGCCTGAGTTGTGCGTGTGCACTTCGTTATTCCTTGCTGCTCGGGCAGATGCACTCTGACTTGGAAGTACTGTCTTGGCTTTGTGCTATGGAGAGGATTACCGTGGGCTGTAATTACCATGATTCTCTAAACAGCCCGACAGGACAACGAGTTTAATCAAGCAGAACATATAATGAGCTGTCCGTAAACAAATAGGGAGATGATTGTAACAGGATGCGTTAAACATATATATTTTTAAGTTCTTTAGTAAGCATGGCACATACATGAGTCGTCGACGTGTCATGTGTAAAGTACATATATTATATACAGATATGGCTTGCACCGATTAACACAAAAATCCTGAGTGTTAAACATTTGTTTGTTGTGTCATTTCCTCTGCTAATGTCAGTACCAATCTTTGACATCTGCTCGTTTGATGTTAATATCAATCTTTGACTTTAATCATCAGTTCCTATTTAGCAGTCACCTTGAACATGAATAACTTATTATCAAAAGTCCACATTTAGAAACTGACGTTGGACATTAATCAAACATTCATATTTCAAAACTAGCCTTCGACATTAATCGACCATACATATTTAGCAAACAACCTTCGACATAAATCAACCATTCATATTTGAAAACCAACCTTTAAAAAGAATCTACTGTTCATATTTAGAAACCAACATTCGACATGAATCAGCCATTCATAATTAGAAGCCAACCTTCGACATTAACCAACCAATCATATTTAAAAACCAACTTTCGACAATAATCAACCAATCACATTTAGAAACCAACCTTCGACATTAATCAATCGTTCAAATTTAGAAATCAACCTTCGACATTAAATCAACCATCTATATTCAGCAGCCAACCTACGACATAAAATAAACCATCTATATTTCGCAGCCAAAATTCGACACTAAATCAATTATCTATATTTACTAGCCAACCTTCGACATTAAATCTAACATCTATATTTCGCTGCCAACATTCGACATTAAACCAACCATCTATATTCACTAGCCAACCGTTGACATTAAATCAACCATCTATATTCAGCAGCCAACATTCGACATTAAATCAAAAGTTCACATTTAGAAACTGACCTTCGACATTAATCAAACATTCATATTTAAAAACCAACCTTCAACAACAATCTACTGTTCATATTTAGAAACCAACATTCGACATAAATCAACCCTTCATAATTAGAAGCCAACCTTCGACATTAACAAACCATTTATATTTAAAAACCAGCTTTCGACATTAATCAACCAATCACATTTAGAAACCAACCTTCGACATTATTCAATCGCTCAAATTTATAAACCAACCTTCGACATTACATCAACCATCTATATTCAGCAGCCAACCTTCGACCTTACATCAACCATCTATATTCAACAGCCAACCTTGGACATTAAATCAACCATATATATTCAACAGGCAACCTTCGACATTAAATCAACCATCTATATTCAACAGCCAACCTTCGACATTAAATCAACCATCTATATTCAACAGCCAACCTTCGACATTACATCAACCATCTATATTTAGCAGCCAACCTTCAACAATAAATCAACCATCTATATTTCCCAGCCAACCTTCGACAATAAATCAACCATCTATATTTAGCAGCCAACCATTGACATTAAATTAACCATCTATATTCAGCAGCCAACCTTCGACATTAAATCAACCATCTATATTTCGATGCCAACCTTCGACATTAAATCAACCATCTATATTTCGCAGCCAACCTTCGACATTAAATCAACCATCTATATTTAGCAGCCAACCTTCGACATTAAATCAACCATCTATATTTCGCAGCCAACCTTCGACATTAAATCAACCATCTATATTTAGCAGCCAACCTTCGACATTAAATCAATCATCTATATTTCGCAGCCAACATTCGACATTAATATCATACCAAATGTTACAAGAAAACTGAGTAAATTAATCAGGAAAAGCGAAGTTACACGGAATTTGCGTAAGTGACATAAAGACAGCGAAGTTACAAGGAAACTGAGTGACATACTGAAAGCGTGGAAACTAAGT